TATATGATCTGATCGTATAGTAATTATTCATTAAATAGTGCAAGGATTACATCATATGGATTATAATCATGTTAAAACATGTGATCTTTGTATATGTGTATGAGAGAGAAGGTTCTACATATCTACTGCTACGAGTCCATAGTCCAGTGGGTGGATTACTCTCATGTCGTGAGAATCATTTTTTCCAGAAGAAGAGTTGACTCGACGAAATATCGACGCGCGGGCGCATCTGATATTCACCTCCCATCGCGAAGTAACAGTGATTGAAAATTACAAAATAATTTTGAGTCTTTTTAGGGATAAGTAATTTTGAGGTAGGTTTTGGGTTAATACATAGACAGATGTATGAGATCCGAGGAAAGGAGATGTACCCCTCAGAAAAAAAAGAGAACAGGAGATGTTTGTGGGCCTGGTCGCCACCTGGGCCCTTGGGCGCATGGGCTTATGACCCCACAAGTGTTCACTTTCAATAAAATATTATCTCTAAATTTACTCAGATATTTCTAAATTCGTTTTTGGGCAGACCAAATTCATGAATGTTGATATACCAACATACACATAAACATGCAGCCGGCCTTTCTAGAACTTTATTAATAGTTTAGCCCAGTATAAAACAACGATAATTTAATAAGAAAATGACCTCCAAAATTATAAATACATTTAGAACGTATCTTGCCTTTGTCTAATAGATCTGGCTGCACATGTTCAATTCAAACACCTGATCATCGTCTATTTTCAGGTACCTGGAAAAGAAATCGTCTATTTTCAGGTACAAAACAACTGTAGCCTGACACACAAACACATACTAGGTACATATTTGAACACTAGCGGTGAGCACACAAAAACGTGAAGTGCAATTTTCACGAGAATTGCTAAAATAATATGGAAGGCTAAAATTCTGACGCAGATTTTTAGACACAATCTGACGTTTGCGAGATATCTGGGTCCAATTAATAATGGAGAGTAGTAATTAGTTTGCTGTGGCGGCCTCGGCCGCAATCTGAGCGTGCATCGTCATGAAGAGCTCCACCAGCCTGCTCACGTCCGGCATCACGGCCACCACCTCGTCCAGCGCGCCGAAGTGGTCTGCCCACGCGGCCAGGAGCGGCATCGTGACTGGGTCGAAGGCCTTGACGCCCAGCATCGCCTCCATGGCGCGCACCCCTGCGAGGAGGCCGCCGAGGACGATGTCCACATACCCGGCGCTGTCGCCTCCAAAGAAGGGCTTCCCCTTGGAGATATCCCTCAGGGCCGCCTCCAGGGTGTTCAAGGCAGCAGTCGCCTGTTTGTTCCCCTCCACTTTCTCCCCCTCCGTCTTGCTCCATGACGCCTGGTTCATCGCTTTCACGAGCTGCTCACGCGCAAAACGAAACCGCGCCGGTCAGACAATTGCCCGCAATCTCAAAGCACACAAACACGCGACGGGTCGAACGATCATGTGAAGCACAATACCGTGTCCTCGATGAAGGCGGCCCAGAACCGGGCGACGGCGCGCTCGTAGGGGTCGGCCGGGAGGAGGGCGGGGCCGGCTCCGCCGAAAGCCTCGTCGATGTACTGTAGGATGACCAGCGACTCGCAGACGGGGTTGCCGCCGTGGATCAGCACGGGGACCTTGTTATGGACGGGGTTTGACCGGAGGAGCAGCTCGCTCTTGTGCTGGAGTTCCTCCTCTGCGTACTCGTAGCTGATGCCCTTGATGCTGAGGGCAAGGCGCACTCGCAGGACGTACGGGCTGTACCACGCGCCCAGCAGCTTCAGATCGTCTACTGCTCCGGCCATTGCTGGTGTGGTGTCTGTCAACTCAAGGTCTGAACTTTGCACGGAGATTGTGTTTTTGGTGCCTCAGTTTTAAGACTCCGGAGGAGAACACGCGAGGCATATATAGAGCATAGCAGAGATTCTTCCGATAGAACGGTGCGAAGGACTAGTTGTTTGGTTGATTCTTCGAACCGTCTACTTTTCCGACTTACTTTTTTGACTTGGTCAAGTAATCAAGTCTGAACATATGTCCCGCGCGCTTTGGCATGGATAGGTATGAGGGAGACCCCGCTGACAAACTTCAGCCACACATTCATTTCCTGTTTGTCAGCTTGCACACAAAAATCGTTCCTCCACTTAGTAGGCCTGTATGGTGCAAGGCTAGCCACGCCATAGTATGCCAAAGTTGACTAAGTTTAGACTTATAAGATTTACTACACTTTGCCAAGACTAAGAGAATTTTGCCAAACTTTACCATGCTACTTCACATGAAACTTGTTATTGGAAAGTGGGCCTAGCCAAAGATGCGTCTTGAAAACAATACCCACCCTACTTAGGCAATTTCACTAAAATTTACGAAAATGTAAGGCATAATTTTAATTTGGCTATTGATGCTAGCTTATTATTTATTTATTTTTGCGAGAAAAACTTATGATATATTCATCGATTGTCAAGGTAGTATAAAGAACACCAGAAGTAAAAAATACTCCCTCCGCCCCAAATATAAGACGCTTTTTGACACTATTGTAGTGTCAAAAAACGTCTTACATTATGGGACGGAGGGAGTACATTCAGTCCCGTAAACCATCTAGCAATGACTACAAGCACTAGAGCGAG